GATTCAGTGAAGGTCACACGGATTGCTTTGAAAAGACTCAACAAAGGTGAATTGCTAAATAATTGCCATGCAGTTATGTGTGGGTGGGTGAAGGTGCCGCGAAAGGTGGGTGCACTTGGCCATGGCCAGATTTCTGCTTGGAAGTCCCTCTTCCTGGCAACACCTGTCCTGCAGGTAAAGCCCTTCTGTGAAATGGGTACATGCATTGTGAGGGTTTATTTACTCATTGGAGAAGACTGCTTCTAGGGAAAAGAGAGCCCTATAAAAGAGTCTATGGAATTGTCCAACAATAAACAATACTTTAAAAGCAAACTTTGAGTACATCGATCATAAATTCAACATTTCAGTCTCTCTTGAAGTGCTCTCATTTTTAATAATAGATTTTGGAATGATCTCATAAAAGATGCATGCTCACATATTAAACAAACATCGCTTTGAATGATTAATTTTAAAATCTATTTTCTACAAAATAATGGGAATTTACCCCACCTTTTCTGTTTATAAGAAGTAAGGAAACCAAGCATATATTTTTGAATTCATGATTATATGTCCTTGTGGTAAACATGATATATTTGGAAAGCAGTGCAAAAACAATAATCCAGAGTCATCATCCAGAAAAATATTTACTTTTTAAAGGCCTGAACAAATACTTTAAAAATAAGATGTTTTAGTTAAAATATATGTAAAATAAATGCAAGGATATTTAATATACCTACATTATAAAAAATTTAATTTTTTCTTATACATTTTTAAAAATAGCTGATACTTATTAAATTTTATATCTGAGTCATCCATTATCATTCACAAATTTAATGATTCAAATATTACAACTTATTTTCCTAAGTGCACAAAAGGAAAATAATATCAGAATAAGGAAACCATGTCATATATGTAAGGAATTAACTGCTTCAAAAATCTTATTTGTAAAAATATGTCAATGAGATGATGTTTTATGTGAGATATCCAGGAATAGTTAATTTAACAATTATCATTCAAGAAAAAAATGTGAATTGAACAAGACAGTTTTCTTTTCTCAGAAATATGCATAGCTGACTTTCATCTACTTACAACTCAAGGAATAAATAGTCCACGGCTAAATAATAACCTGATTAAACTTCATTTTATTTTCCCTACTAGACATCCAACCCTGTTTTTGCATTTTAAGCAAACTAAGGAGAAAAGAATGATTTGGCTTCTTAAAGAAATGGGTTCATTTGAAAATATTTTTTGTCCACCTTTCATTATACTTAGAAATGCATCAATGTCTGTTCCGTTATTAGAATTAATTATACATAGGTATTTTATAGTTAAATACACAGTGTAAATAGTAACTGTGTAAAGCAAAAAAATCCCCCTAGAATGGCATAGCTGAAGTAAATAGTTGTCAGTTAATATTCACCCCTGATGCTTTGCCATTAAAATGCAATGGAAATCTGACAAAATAATCAGAGGAACCTAGAGCAAATGACTCTATTCATATAATAATTGATTACTGCTTTGACAGCATCCCACCTTTTTCACACAGTTGTGCAAAAAAGTTCCCTTTAGATTAATCGGCATCATCATGAAATACATTGCATGAGTGTGTGGTTGGGAACCCGCTCAAGCCCATATTAAATATAGTTGAGATTAAACTGTTATGGAGGAGTGGGTGAAGGCTCCTGGCCGATTGTTTTCATAGGAAATGTGTGAAGGCTAGTGACACTGAGACCAATTGTCGTTTTGCTTTTAAAGAGAATTTTTTTTTTAATTTTCGAGCGGGTCTTTTTAGTTTTCCAACAATAATTGCCACTGATTGCTTATGTGACAACATAGCCTATATGATTGGGAAGATTAGCTTATCAGCTTCCATTGAAACAAAGGGAAGATCCATTCAATCTAAATTTCCAGTCCAGGCTGATAGAATTGAACTGTTCTTGAAATGCCAGCAAAGACATCTAGACTGTTCTCCAAAGTTATGGGCCAGAATGCTACTATTGAATAAAAGCCAAAATGATGCTAAGCTTATTACAAAGGATGTTGGAAAGGCAGCAGAAAGCTTTTCTCTGTGCTTTTATCATATCGACATGTATTCTCATCAAGAAACTACAGATGCACATGGTTGCTTTGGCACACGGAATTAGAAAACTCTAGAGAAAAGTAAAACAATAAAGATGAGTGAAACGAATCCTATATAGAGACAGATTGAAAAAAAGTTTGGAAAAGTAAAGCTTGACACTAGCTCATGTTTGTAATGCCCTAAAGCTTTCAGATTTTTGCAATATTATATTAGTAAAAAAAAAAATCTGTTGATTATAGTTTGAAACTGAAATAGATCCTTGCTTGGCAAATGTAAGAAATTCTATTTGCATCATCTTATGGGAATCATAATTCATTATTGATGAATTATTAGTATTTGATATTCAAATAAATTCAAAAGAATTTTAGGTAAATTCATGTCATGGCTCCACACCAGATTGTTAAGGTAGCTAAAATTCTTTGAATATATCATTTGATTTTTTTTTTTGAGTCTGCTCTAATGGAGGACAAACAGAAATTGGTTTAAAATATATGCTGTAAGAACTGCCAGAAAACGGGCAACACTGAGCTTGGGAAAACTCATCTTATAATCTGACAAAAATGTCAGTATCTTGTAACTTAATTACTCTTCTCTTGTACAGCTTACTTTTTAATGTAAGCACTTCATTTCTTAAAGCCAAAGCAAATATTTTTTTAGAAAATCACATTATGTAATCATTAACTATTTAAATATTTGACCAGGAATGCTAATATTGTTATTGACTTTTTGCCAAGTGATCCTTTCTGTGGCAAGTTTATGGATGTGAAAAACCCCATCCATAAACTCACTCATCAATGATCAATGATGAAGTAAAGTAACAGGGAGCGAAAGTGACAGAAACAGAACCACATCGGAAAGGTGCATACTCTCATGACCAAGTATTCCAAAACCTTGACATTTGTTTTTATTCCAGAAACCTGGAAAACAAAATTTAATTCCCCAAACCTGCAATCGCTTCCTTTCTTGTCCTATTGAGTCAGAAAACCTGTAATTATAGCTTGAGATGGGAATGCGCTGAGCAGGGGATGAGAAAGTATTGTTATGAAGGGTCTATAAGAGGTCATTCAGCAACCACTTGTTCAGTAAAGCATTGTGACACCTGCTGCCTTTTTACCCACTACCAACCATCTCCTGCTCTGAGGTGTCCTGGGCACCATGAGGGCACACCTGAGAGGCAGCCATTAAATATGCAGCGTCACAACCTGGCTGCAAAGGGCATTTGGAATATTTAGTAAAGGAGCAGGGCCTGGGTATTTGAGGGTTGGTAGGAATTAGATTCCGGGCCGCAGCACAGTTCTCACTGGGGAGAGAAGTCCAGGGCTGCTGTGGAATAAGTTACTCTGGTGGCACCTTAGGAAAGAAAGCTCTGTTCTTAGCAGCTCTGCCACTTGCCAGCTGTGTGGCCTCCGGGAATAACTCAGGTCCTATTTTGGTCGTTTCTAAAAGGTGGTGTGTGATTTTAATTTCTAAGTGTCCTTCTATCTCCAAAAGTCTTTTTCCATCTCTGGGAATAATTTTTAAATTTCCTGTTTAAATTGAGACAAAATGGAGGGTGGAACCTTCAGAATAAATGTTGAAAAGTATATATCTATTTTCTACCAAGCGTATTTTAAAGGGCAATGAATACTTCACAATTAGTTTGTATTATGTTTTCCTTTAAAAAAAATTTGCAGGTGTACAGGGAATAGTCTATTTGCATGTGTTTAAATGTTTCTTTTTGGTGACGAAGAGGAGACAAAATTTTGTCTATCAAATGAATACTTTATGGAAATATACAATGTCATGCTGTTTTTTTCTTCATTTTTTTAATGTTCAAATAACCTGCAAAATAGAGATATCAACAAAGATAAATAAATCTGTGTGAATAAAAAGGAAAGATGAGCGATGTGTCAAATCTTAATAGATTTTCATATTGGCATGAAGTTGTATTTATCACAGGATATTTTTATACAGAAAGAAGCAATTTTGGGAACATCCCAAAATAAATGCATTTAAGAATTTTCTTTGAGTTTTATAAGCAAGTTCCTGTACTAAATGATTCTTAACTCTATATTTATTTGAGTAGATAATGTTGCAATAATTTTTATTTTATGGGACAATTGCTGCTATGCTGTTCATCATATAATGACTTATCCATGCTTCTTATTCAGTCTCTTTCCTTTATATTCTTATTAATCTCAGAAAACATCAATCTTCCCCACCCTCACGGCCCTTCCCATACATCCCCATGTGATACCATTGAATTAAAGCAAGTGATATATTTTGACAAAGTTCGTTCAATGGTATTATTAGACAGATTACATATATATATATATATGTATATATATATATATACATATATATATATAATGCCATATATAATGGCATACATTCTTGCAATTTTTCTTTTTAATTAATCTGAGAACCACAACAGTTTAAATAGCCATCACATTATTATGTAGCAGGCCCTGATTGAAAAGAAATAGTTAAATACACTAAATGAGGGGTTGTGTTTGGTTCAGAATTTCTCTTCTTACAGGAATGAGGTTTTGAATAATGCAGATGGTATTTAAAATCATGTCTATGATGCTAAACAGCCTCCCACTCAGAAACATGAAAATATATAGTTCCTTGAATTTATAATGTCATAAGAATATCCACTTATGGTTTAAGAGTATATCCTATCCCTATAAACTCCCTTTGTACTCTTCCAGTAGATGATTTTTAAGGACCTGATAGAATGAATAAATTCTAAACAAATGAATTAGAAATCCAGGCTTCATATAGAAAATGTTATTTTTCTGTTGGAGTGAAAAATGTTTTCTAAACCCTACAAGACTTACATTGTGTTTGTACATGTACAGCATTTTTGCCTTGAAGTGTAGTGATTAAGGGTTGATCTGTCCTATCACTTGTTTTCCCCCAAATTGTAAGCTGATTATTAATTTGCCAGTTACCTTCTTTACAAGAAGGGGAGCCATTTTTTCTGATTTCCAACCTGTTTGCTATTTACCAGTTTCTTATAAATCTCTGACTTGAGAAAGCGAGGAAACGAATCCTTGGCCATGAGGCTGTAGATTAACTTCTGAGCCTCGTCAAAGCATTTGAGGGTCGGCTCTGCAATATTCTTTGAAATGAGGTCCCTGGTGCTGAAGTCAATGTTAATCTGTGGAAATAAGTTTGCATATCATTCGATTAGTTTAATCAAAGAGTACACGGTTTATACAGATGGTAGATTCACATGTTATTTGAATTTTTTTTCCTAGACACAAAGATAATCGGATGCAAACTAGCAGAAAGGAAGGGTATGTGTTCATTTTCAGTTGCACCACACATGCTGGGTGTATTTTTCTTAGGTCGAGAGGGTTGGAATTGTCAGGCAATACAGGTAAAGCCTTCCTTTGAGAGGATAAAAAATGGCAAAGTGAAAAGGCAATTATCTTATGATTTTAAATTTCTTTTCCCACCCATTCTTTTTTTAATTTTTGTCCAGTACTTTGGGCTTCATACCTAACATGCACTTTCCAGAGGCAGAATAATAACTAGAATTTACTGGGCTGGTGTCCGCCAACCCATTCCCACTCTCCACACCTCATGCTGTTTGCCACCATGTTGCTTTTCATTCTCTTTTGTACTTTTTTTTGTTTGTGAAAATGGACCAAATGACACCCCCTCTACACCAACCCCATGCCTCCCACAGGGTGTGTGTGTGTGTGTGTGTGCGCGCGCGCAAGTAATCTGTCCCACTACTGTCACCACACGGAAGTATCCCCGACAAGGTCTATTAGAGATCTATCATATGGGCACACGCCATTCACCTGCCAATATGTCAAATGCCCCAAACCTTCTTGTGGGGCGACTTGTCCAACTCTACACATATCCCAGGATACATTCAAAGCGTTTCACTTAAACGGAAAATAGTCATGAAGTGAAAAAGAGATTGGAAAGTTGAAACTGAAAGCTCCCTAAAGACAGCTGCTGTGTATCGTATTTATCATTCTATTTTTTTTGGCACTTAGCAGAATATCTAACATATAATCGGCAATCAGTAGCTATTTATTGAATCGAATTAAAATGTCTCTTGGAAAAATGAGAGAGGTTGTAAAAATGCCAGAATTTTGGGGTCAGGTTAAAGAAAGACTGTAAATGACAATTTATGTTTAGTGAATTGAAGTTAAAAGATAGACAGACCTGCAGTCAAATCTCTCCTCAGCTACTTACTTGCTGTTCATATGAGGGATGCAAGTTCTGTGATTTCCTTTAATCTTCGATTTCCACAGCATAAAAGACAATGGTAATAGCATCTATCTTAAAGAGTTTTAAGGACTAAATGGGGTAAGGAATATCAAACTATTTCAATATTATTATTCTAGGAAAAAGAAAAGAAAAAAAATTCAACTTAAGAAAAATCATCAAAAGGTCACTGTTTGCTCACAGATGTTTCCTTTCTTAGGTCCTCCATCAAAGTTCCAGATCAAATGCTCCTGTTCTCTGGAAAGCCTCAAAGTCTGGAATCAATTTCTAATTCTTGACACAGGAAGATGGTGCAGTATACTGGGAAGACTTTGGGAGAATTTTCATATCTGTACTCTGACACTTATGATCTTGGTGACGAGACGTGAATAGCGTTAATATTTCTGAGCTCTGCTGTCTCGTATTTCAGGTGGGTAGTTCTTGACTGAATTGTTATAAGAATTAAAGTGAGATGATCCATACACTCATTGATTCTACAAATATTTATGAGTTTCTGTTATGTGCCAAATGCTTTCTGTTTTTGGGGAAAGACAACCAACAACTAAAGAGTATTATTTTAGATTTGAGTTTGAAGGATGAGAAGAAGCCAAGTCAGTCCTCTAAGAACCTGGGGAAAAACATTTCTGGCAGAAAAACAATACATGGAGAGTCTCTGATGTAAGAAAATGTGCTATGTTCAGAAAAGTCACTGAGTCTGGATGGATAGGATATAGGGTGTGAGAAAGGAAGATTCTGTGATGAATTCAGGAGAGGAGAGACAGGCCAAGTCTCGTAGAGCTTACGTGTTAGGTAAGGAGGTCTGATTTTTCTACTGGAAGCGATAGGGAGACACCGAGGGTTTTGAGCAGGAAAGTGTCATGAGAACATGTTATTAACTTACTATGGTGCCGGCCTCATAGTGGACATCAGTGAATAGAGGCTGTTATCAAGATCTCGTAGAGGTTTTTAAACATCTAGGAGAGTCTGTTTGTGTGAAGGGGACACGAGAATATATATTGCCTGTTTTCCTCCTTTAAGCTGTTACTTCTTTAATGGCATCATCTGTAATTTGTTTAACTTTCTATTCCCCATAATGGTAACTATAGCAACTCAGCTGGTTGAGGCCCATTCATTGGGTGACTTTCACCGACAGCAGGGCCAGTGTTTTCCCAAGACACAGTGTTACCTGATTATTATTCTAAGCAGAACTGAACACCTGTGTAAGCCCTCATTCTCCATCTTGGCCCAGAGCCCTTATCCTGGCTTCCAAGGTCCTTGCAATATGCTCCCAACTTACTTTTTCCCTTCTGTGCGTGCCCTGTATTTCCACCAAGCTAGACAGTTCCCCTCCAAATCCCCATGTTTTCCCACCTCTGACCGTTTTCCCATGCCATCCCCGTGTAGCTGAAAGTCATTCCTTTTTCTAAGCCTTTCACAATCTTTTATGTCTTTAAGGCTACATTCCAGTGGCATCTTCTTTGTGAAGTTTACCTGTGCATTTTTTTCCCTTTTCTGACCTCTCAAAGGATTTTGTGTGACTTAGACAAGATTTGCATTTTGCTCACCACTCCCTATGCTTTGCACAGTGTAAAGACTCAATAAATATATGTTGTAGAAATGAAGTTAAAACAAAGCTTCTATATTTGTTAAAAACCATGTTTCAATTTTAAAGAGAACCACTTTGTTTCAACCTGATAGTGATAATTAATATCATTTACTGAAATAGATGAAGCTTGTGCTTCTGACTTACCCCTCTCATTTTTCTGACTTGCCTGTGTTCGCACCAAGGAACTGCCAACATCAGCTATTGATGGCTTGTGATGAGCAGATATGCTGTTCCCAGGAGATAATCAGTGGTCTTATGAAGATGTGATTTGGCAACTTAGCTTAATGTCAGTGACAAAACATCACAACCACATGTTGTATATATGTCATTATTTTTCTTCAAGTTGTTCAAGCTTGAAGCATAGGAATTATCTCTGACACCTCTTTTTTCTCTGCTCTCTTATCATATAAATATACACATAATATATCTATATTGTATATATATATTTTTTTCGTCATCTTTTATTTTGTAATTTCACAACGATCTTTTTCATTCGCACTTCTCTCTCTCCAGTTTAGTCTTTTACACCCTCATCTCTTCCCTAAACCACATAATTTACCTCTTATCTGATACCTCTTGTTATAGCTTTCCCTTCTGAACACCGGAGACAGCATTACTGTATCAATATCACCAAACTATCACTTTCAGCATATAAGTATCCAGCTGAAAACCCGTTCTTTTCTATAACATAAAATTGAAACTACTTACTCTGGCCTTTGAGCTTCCGCACACCTGGACTTCAGGTGTTGTGTTAAAATCACCTCCTACTGGCCCTTCGTGGGCCCACACAGCCTTATCCAGCTTAAAGTGAAATCTTCTCAGAAGCCTTCCTTGATCACAGAGGATAATTTTCTTATCATACACTATTTTCACTTAAAATTTTTAAAGAAATTTGATTTCTTGCTTAAACCCATTTAAATACAAAGGCTTCTGTTAATGGTAAGTATTCAATCTGATTATCAGAGAAAAAAGATTTGGTAGTACAAAGGGAATTGAATAGTTCACGGCCTGGAATTAACCTGTCTTTTTTCTGCCATCTTTTCCCTATTCATTTCACCAATTCCTTTTTTCTCTACATGTCCCTCAAAATATAAGCAGAGAAGATAGGTATTGTACAAATTCTGTCTCATCTTCTCTCCCTAGATTTTTTTTCCTGGTGACTCTGTCTTCTATGACAAATATCTGAGCAATGGTATTATCTCTGAAATAATCATAAGGGCATTTAAAGATGATTATTTTAACTGTAAAAAAGTAGAGTTAATAGTTTTAAATATTAGTATGATGTGCTAAGTCTTTATGTGGCTACTTTATATCATACATAGAACTGTAAAATGAACTATATTATTCCCATTTTTTTGGAAAAAAGCTTATATATATATATAAGCATATATATATATATATATATATATATATATATATGAAAAAGTAGTTATTTGTAGTTATTCTTAGAATTTATTCATTTGAAGTATTCTTGAGTGGGAGTTTCAGAATTGTGTATGGATCTGAAGAGATAAGGGTGATTAAGATGAAAAGTCAACCAAAAAGACAGATTTTTAAAAAATGATCCAAAGGATAAACTCTTTCTTAGGGAAAGGAGATTTTATGCTGATCTTCGAAGCAGTCTTACAAATAGAGAGATTAAGGCAGGGGCGTGTGCATGGGAGGGTAAGCTGGAAGAAACCCAGAGGGTTTGGAGGGGAAGAAAGCCCAGAGCCTGGAGAGCACTGAAGATGCAGATCATGTAGGACCTGGTAGGTCTCCTTAAGGAATTTTTACTTGACCTGGAAGCAGTCAGGAGGGTTTTAAGTAAGGGACTGATGCAAACCCGTGTTTGAACGAACATACCAATGACCGGCCTGCGGAGTTGCAGCTAAGTGTGGGGCAAAGGCAGAGAAATTAGGAGCATGCACCACACGCTCAGGTGGGCGATGAAGGGAAGTCCTCGATGTCAAGGACATTTAGCGAGCAGACTGGATGGAACTTGTGATTGAATGGTTCTGAGCTGGGACGAGGAACACCATCTTTAAGAATGACTGGATTTTAGGACTGTTCTGAAGAATGCGATGAAAATCTGGACTCAGATTTGAACTTGTCACCTTTGAGATGCCCTGTCAAAGCCATGGGACTGGAAGAGATCACCGGGGGAGTTACGTCCAAGCGGAAAATAAATGAGGACCGTCTCTCTCATGGTGGTGTGGGCTGGGTACGAGTCAGAATAGTGGAAGAAACCATCACAGCGCCGACCTACCGCAGGTAGTAGTTCAACTAAGAGAATGATCAGATTTGTTAAATGCTCCTGAGAAGCTGGTCGGAGTGAGGGTTCTGAA